CAGAGGTACTCATCCATGTTAGAAGCACTGCATGGTGAGTTTTCAAGGCGATTTAAAGACTTCAAAACAGTTGAGAATGAAATGAACATGATCTTTTCCCCATTTACATGCCATGTGGATGATGCACCCAGTGATGTTCAGCTTGAACTCATTGACCTGCAGTCTGACACACTTCTGTCAGAGCACTTTAGGTCAGTCTCACTGCCTGAGTTTTACGCTTCCCTGAAAGAGGAGAACTTTCCACACATCAGGAGACGTGCTCAGAAGATGATGGTCCTCTTTGGATCTACCTACATATGTGAACAGACATTCTCAGTGATGAAGTTCAACAAATCCAGATACAGATCCTCTATCACTGATGATCACCTCTCAGCTGTCCTTCGCATATCCACCTCAGACATTGAACCAGATTTCCGTGCACTTGTTCAAGCCCAAGACAGACTGGATTTTTCTCACTGAACAAGTAAAATGAACTGAAAAACAAAAATCAAAAGCACTCATTTCTTTTTGTATAAAGCTGATTCATTTCTTATCTTTAACATACTGTAAAACACCTTTTCAGTATTGGTATATTGAGCAGAATTAAGTTCAACTTATTTTTGATTCGGCCCCCCAACACAGCTCGAGTTTCTGAAGTGGCCCCTTGTAAAAAATAATTGCCCACCCCTGCACTATACTAATTCCACTATAGTTCTTCGATTTCTTTATTCTTCCCCTTATTTCAGCCAATACTTTGGCTCGCCATAACTTCAGCTTATTTTCAGCTACAGAAACCATTCAAATATTAAAGGGCCCATGTCATGCTTTTCCGGTTATTACCCGTCCCCTTGTGTGTTATGAAGGTTTTTATGCATGTAAACGGTGTGCAGAGTCAAAACCCTCAAAGTACACCCTGTAGCGAGTAAAACTCTAACACAGAAAATACCTCCCCAAAACGCCTCATTGGAGATACGTCACTGTCCATTTGATTCTTCCAGGTACCGCATGATGTCATGCGGAACTGTCGCCATGCCAACGGCATTTGATGACATCCCATAATACGCTTAGATGCGTTGATGGCTGCATCGTTACCAAACCTGTGAAGTTTTGGGCCGTTTGGAACATTTTCACTGAAGTTATGAGAAAACCGTGTTTCATGGCGAGCATTGTGTTGCCATGGCAACGGCATTTGAAGAAATCTCAAAACTGTCCCATAGATGTCTTCACGGCTGGACTGTTAGCACACATGTGAAGTTTGAGCACTTTTTGAACATTTTCATAGGAGTTAATGTATAGCGACATCGTCTTTTATGGCGAGGGATGCGTTTCCATGGAAACGGCATATGATGACACCCCATAATTGACGTAGAGCTGTTGAGGGCAGGACCGTTAATCATTATCTGAAGTCTGCTGCTCTGAGCATGTCAGTTGGAGTTATGACATCATCGTGTTCCATGACACAGGTGTTTATATTTGAGCTAACAAGGTGTCCAGAGATCAAAGGTTTCCATTGTTCTGAATGAGAGATAAACGTCTTACATGTGAACGTTTTGTTGAAGAACCGTAACAGATATCGGTGAAATTTCAAAGCGTGAAGCATCTCAAGGACCTTGAGTATCTGAAGTGTGCTTTTTGTGTACTTTCGGGTCAATAATGTGGCCTTTTTGGCAGATTAACTAAAGGTGTGCGGCTGCTGCTGTGAGGAAATATCAGCCTGAAATTACAATGGGCTTTAATGGAGACATGTTGAATGTTTTTGTCACTTCAAGCCCTCAAGAGGCATTTTGTTTAATTATTTTTGCTTAATTATTCATCATTTTTCAATCTACGAGATGTTTTCCTACGTTTGTCATGAAGAATTATGTCTCAAGAATGTAGGGTTTGGGAATTATGGCAGTTTTAAAAAAAATATGAAGGCAAATTTCAAGATTTCTTACACTCTAGCTGTGACATCACGCACTCTAGTTAATGTTAAAATCTGAAGAAGGCCTCTGTACCAAGGTCTGAACAATGTTTAATATCTCTAAAAGTAAGAATCAGATTTAAAAGTTGTGTTACACGAATAATGTCAGAAGGATGTGTAACATTTTAAAGTTGGAATGAGGTTTCTGAGTGAAAGTATGAAGGAACAGTTAGCAGTTGAAGTCGCATGAAGATTGTTCAAGTCTGAAGATTTCCTCCATTGACTTCACTGGTTACAAATTTGATGAATTATGGGATGTATCTCTGGAATTATGAAAGTTATGAATGAGAAAAGTAATAACCATCGATTCCCGACCGAGCTGAACGTTTTGATGTTTGAACGGAGTTTCTGCGATGTGGAATGTGGGAGAAGAAGACCGGCAAAATAACAGGCGGAATAATAAGAATAAAGAATTTCGTGCGTCGAAGAACAGATAGTGGGAATGCTGTTAACAGCATTCCCACTAAATAATAAGGGGAAGAATAAAGAATCGAAGAACTATAGTGGAATGCTGTAAACAGCATTCGCACTAATAACTGCAAACACAAAGATATGTTTTAAAAAATAAAGTAGACGAATACTTTACATGATTACACAAACGATTTGTTGCAAGTTATAGTTTTACTTTTGAGATGATATTTCATTTGCTTGACTGAGTTTTTTTTTTCTCTTAAACTCTTAGTTTTGCTTGATTCTGAGAATGTTTTTGCTTGATCTTAATGGCACAAACCTGATGCCATAGTACAACACTAATTAATAACACACTGAAAGCAATAAAATAAAAATAAATTGACACCTCGAAACGTTATCTTTAGTTTATTAACACATTTCTGCGTTGAAAAATCTGCATATTCTGTTCATTCAGTAGCTCAGAAGCAGGTATAGAAGACTTACAGCCATTTGTTAGCCACATAAGACATTATGACATGTTTCCCTGACTGTGACCTGACAGAAGAACTGACTGGAGAAGGAAGTCAAATGTATAAAAACTTGTTCCCACACAAAACCAAACTGTTGCTACAAACTGCTATTGCATCAAATCCAGAAAGATCGACAATATGCAGCATAAAACACAACTGAAATGTGGAGAATATTCTCACATGATGAACACTTAATAAAAGTCAGTGTTTATTTTTTCACTCACATCTGGAAGCACTGTATTATCAAAATAACTAGTGAGTCAAAAATAAAGAATGTTGCTAATAGGAATGTTTAATAAACAGAATTAGCTGTAAAAGAAATGCATACTTAAACAAAGTTTGTGTCAAAGTTGCATTTAAGCAACTGCACAGAGGATAAAGCCTACAAGAGTGTATCATTGCGAAGACTGAGAGCTGCTGGGCTGTATCCGAACACCTAAAAAACACTCAACCCTCACAGAGACCAAACTTTCAAAGGATCCTTATCAAAATAAAAGGGGATAATAGGTCTGAAATGTCTGTTAAACTGATGACCAACTTTACCCAATCACCTGGTAAATACAAAGTAGTCGCTACATACATATCCAGACTGCAAGGGCACCATTAAACAAATATCAATGCAGCAATTAAAGAATAATAACGGAAACCTTACCATCGTTGGTCACAAAGTATGAGACGGTCTTATTAACTTTAAAATGTTGCTATAAATTAAGAGGAAGTTCCGAATGTGTGAATATATACATAGATATAGAACATATATTTGACACTGTACACTGTAATTTGTTTTGAAAGGCAGATTTGGACAGATGAAGTGTACCTTTTTGATTGTATTGTAATGTAATGTTAATGTTACTCCTCCAAACCCACTTCTATTCAGCTATAGTAACCGACCAACTGCCTGTCTGTAGTCTTCCTTAAAGTCATGTAATGTCAGTTTACCTAAATAGAGCAAACCGATTGCATTTCAAAAGGGGCAGTTTTCCAAAAAATGTCCTAAACCAAAGCTGCGTACCAACATGCTAATTCAGAATGTCAACACAAAGAAAGAGACAAAGAAAAAACCTTTCCAGTGGCATGGGAATGATTTAAGTAGAAAATCATAAGATTTTATTTTGAATTGTCAAAAGTAATATTTCACAGTATAATCTCCACAACAGTTACCTGCAAGAGATGATTAATTCTGAAAGCACCCAGCAATGTGGATTCCAACTGATCCTTGAACAGAGTACTTGAACACATCAATAAGTAAAAACACTTGACACAAACAAATCAAAATACTTCCCAAACTTTAAATACATTAAGAATACCAGAAATCATTTCTTAAATAAATTCTACAAAAATATCTGTTTTACACATATTTACATTGACTGTAGCTTCTAGCAATTGTGTGAGTGTAATCCAAAACAGAGCTTATTATTCATGATGCCATCCACGACTGTGAGCAAATGTGCTTTCTGGAAGAATTGTATCACCATGCAATCTATTACATATGTAGAAATTGGTCCATAGATAACTGCAGAATGATTCAATATTGAACTATCAAATTATTATTTTTAACAATGAAACTGAAGTTACTTGCTGCTGCCTTTTAAAAAAAAAATAATGCATTTGTTTTAAGGATTCTTGCATATTAGATTTTATTTATTAAAGATACACTGCTTAATTTATTACAGTGCACAGAGGCCGCCCTAAACTTCAAAATGTCCCCTCAGCTTCTGATAGTTTAAAATCAATTTAATTTCAGAGTATCAGCAAAGAGCTGGGTAGACATTTTGATTATTTATCCTTTATTTGATTTATTCAGTCTGATACATTAAAGGTAGGGTAGGTAAGTTTGAGAAACCGGCTCGAGATCGCTAGAATTTGAAAATACACAACCGGAGAAAATCTGCCATTTCCTTATAGAGCCCCTCCTCCAACACACACGAACGCGCACATGACCAATGAGGGCACGAGATAAGTTTGTGCACAGATGGAAGGCTGACAGGCAGGTAGGCCATCCAGTTATTTTAGCCGGGCCGGCTAAAATGATTGGTCGTGCTTTTTACAGTATTACGGCTTCCACAGATGACATTCTTTTATGGATTTTTTGTCAAAGCACTTAAGATATTCATTGCTATCGGAATGTTAAGAGCATTCCATGGAATATAACAAAAAGTGTATCTCGAGCCGGTTTCTCAAACTTACCTACCCTACCTTTAATCTTATGATCGATGCATTGTACAGATTAAGCCAAATTGTAACACCAAATGAGTTGCCCTGTTCAAACTTTAGAAATTCATAAATGCATAATAAAATTGCCTGAATTATCAACTGTTTGTTATTGAGATAAGGATTTGTGGCAGGTCATTTTCTTTGGTTGCAATAAGCCAGCACACACTGTATCAAACCAAACAGAAAAACCAGTGCATTTTTTACTTCAAGGCTGGATTAATGTATGGTTCCTCATCATCAGCCCCAAAACATTCCCAAGACTGTTCAGTTGATTCAAAAAGCTGCGGCACATTAACAACAACATCATATTACTCCCATATTAGCTTCTCTTCACTGGCTCCACAATATCATTTAAATTCCAACTCTTCACCTACAAGCCCTTAATAGTTAGACCGATTTCTTTTAAACCCCTTTACCCCACTGCGCTCCAACAATGCACTGATCCTTGTGGTTCCTAGAGTCTCTGTTCACATGATCATTTTTGCCATATGGATTGTCTATTTTGTACTTTTATCATGCTTATTAATGTTAACATCGATCGGGGGCCTGCAGACGCTCCAAAGACACTAGAGTGAAGTTACCGTGCAGTTTCAGAGAGACCACAGCCAACGCCAGGTTCGGAGATTGGGGGGAACTAAACTACATGTCTCTTGCTTTCCTGAAGTGGTGTGGCAACATTTGGCCTCACCCATGAGCTATGTAACATTTACACAACATAGGCAAAGTGTCAGAAAAACTAAATGTTGGGGTCTGGTAAATGTTTTGCTTTTGTGAGCAAACCCATGCTGTTATTAATGTAAAGACCCGTAATGTTATCTATTGGCTCTAATTTGTGTGTGTAATAATTTATTGTCTTGTGAAATAAGTTTATTTAACAGCATGTGATTTTTTATATCCTGTCATTTTGTTGTGTTGACACACAGTTGTCTTTTTGTTGACAACCGTTGTTTACATTTATGCCAGGCATGCATTTTGTTTTTATTGAATGAAATACATTTTGACCTAAACATCAAAGTCCAATCAAATTATGGATTTTGATAATTGTGACATTTATATGATGGGTAGCTCTGAATCATCAACTGTCAAATAGCTTTACTGGGCACATCAAATGCTATCTGCTTCAAAAAGTATTTAACAATTACAAAGAGGTTTGTAACCACATACATTTTTGGAATTAGACTCACTATAGGGTGATAAAGCTAAATCTGAGAGTATACCTTGTCAAGTTTTTAAAGCCATCCTTGTCCAAATAGCTCAATACTTTGTCGATTTTGAGTCAGAAAGAAAATTGTTACTGCAGCAATGCAAGTTGAGGTTCATATAGCTCAGTAAAAAAAAAAAGGAATCATTGGCAATTATGCACTTGATGAGAATCATGCACCTTTTTACAGTAACAACATCAATGGAAATGATGTTAACTGTAGTGACAATGCTTTCTGTCAAATGAGGTCTTCTTTTTCAAACAATCCATTTCCATCCTTCAGCCACTGATCTAAATGTAAAAAGGCTGAAATAAATAACAGGAGCAGAAAGCTGGACAACCAAACTACATTAACTATCCTTCAGTGTGTAATAGACAGAACTGTGGACATTTCTTCCAGACAAGGAACAGAGGGATTGCATAGTCTTTATAAATGACAGTAGAGGGGATTTAGTCACCCTTTAATCTTCTGTTGTTATACCCTTTACACATTGTCAAACTTATGTTTTAAATAGTCTTTTATAACCTTTGCAATTGGTAGATCCTCCAACAATTTTAAGCTTTGAAGGCCAATGCAGTGACGGATTTGTATTCGACACAAGTCTTGAAGAGTCCGAGGTTGTCCTGAAAAAAGAACAGAAACCGTTATTACACAGTGAATAACACTGGACCGCATATATAACTGCTATGTCAGCCAATTTTGGCTTATTGCAGATAGGTGAGTATTGGCGGATTAGCAATTAAAAAGTAAAAAAGAGTAATGTTATTTAGCAGTGTGCCTTTTGAACAGGTTCTCACTGGAGCACAGTGCAAAACACTGATCTTAGTAGACTGACCTCCCAGTGAGCTGATAACTGATGCTATTCATGTTTGTGAAAGTTTTACTTTTTAGTTAATTTAGTTTGACTTTTTAGTTAATCACCTTACCTAGCTCAGTGGTAGCTCCATCAACAAAAGATTCAAAAATAAAAAAAATTACATTATGATATTACATTTAAAATAACAACTGGAGAAATAATAAAACTGGATTTCTATTACCAAATAAAATCAGTTTGGTTCTTTATTAATACTGCGGTATCGGTTCTTTGTTAGACACTGTTATAGTTGAGATCCGAAAAGGTTATCAAGTGGCTATTCACTTTGTGTTTTACAATGTGTTATTTGGTTAAATAATTAATTTTAAATAAACTACTTAAATTTAACCATATTATGGCCTTAGTTTGGTACATTAAAGAAGAAAAAAGAATCATACTGTGGATATATGATCTTTATATCATGTCAACTGTATCTTTAAATGTAAACGACGGTTGTCAGAACAGAAATCCAATGGTCTGTTGATTTTTAACAATTAAGACTTGAACAATGGCTGCCAGTGATGCGATTTGTTTTATTATATATTCAATGAAACATCTTATTGAATTGTGACCTCAACATCAAAAGTCAAATTTTGGAGAACTGTGACATTTATACTCAATAACAACTATAGACAAAAGCTAGGATTAGTCATTTCCCAATAAAACCGGTTTGGTTCTATATCGATAAATAACAATGCTGATGAAAAAATTATTTTAAAAGTAGAATCCGACTTAGTCATCCCTTCTGTATAGAGTCTATAGTTATATGTGTTCTAACTGAGGGCTGATGAGCTGAAAAAGTGTTTCCCGATTGAAATCACACACAAATTCACAGAAAGCCCAGATGCCCCCAAGAGCTTTATTACAAGTTGTGTCTATTTGAAAACTACAAGTAATCATATTTTATTACCACACATGCTGCATGGTTATCAAAATGAATACTTGTATTTTGTATTTTGGTGTCAAGTGCTTTCAAGCATGCATTAATAAATAATGCATTAATGCAGTAGAGTAAGTGATACTGTTATATGTTGCAGTATTTGACCTGGGACACACAAGCAACACTGAGATGTGTAGCAGCTGAACAGAGCTGGGAGCCTGTCATACGGTGGGACAAGTCTTTCATGGCATATGAGTTAATCCAGGAGGTGGAGGTGTAATCAAAAAGCCAGCAGATATGTGATCTGGTTGAGGGTTGGAGTCTGTGAATGGGCTTGTCTGAATCAGAGCACAGCTCTTTGATATCAAAGATATCAACAGATATCAAAGAGCAGGGGGCAGTGGAGGAATGCAGCCATTGTTCCCTCTAAATGTAATGCTTCAGGTGATGTGCTCCCTGTGTCTGAACAGAAGTCTTTAGAACCTCTTTTACTCTTTACACGTTTTCCTTTCCTCCTCACAGTTAACAGTAAAACGCTTTACACTCTTTGAGCTAAACCTGGAATCCTTTTCTGCATCCTATACATGTTCACAGATGTATTCCAATGGGTAAGGACCCATTGTACTCATACTGCAAGTCATTATGTCTTCATTTATTTTTAGAATTTTGGGGAGAAAGATTCACAATTGTTATTATGACCAACATTAAATAAAAAATAAGTGGAAAACCGTTCATATTTAAGATGACAAGATTTATATTTATCCTTCCCCTTTCTCTGTCGACATCCATCAATAGAATTGTATCTATGTGGTTCACTATAGGATTATTAATTTCAGAAATTCTGAAGTTGCTTACCACCAGCAACATAAACCATAGTAAAAATGTTATTGTCACAAGAAGCATATAAGTGATTGAAAGCATTAGTCGACAAGGGGAGACGTGAATAAATACCAAAGACCTTTACAGCAACACTGAATCATTGTCAAAACACTGACCTTCAGATGCCATCGAAATCCCTTTCTGTAATTTCCCTTCTTCCTTGCCTTTCTGAGGCTCTATCCAGTAAATACAATCTTATGTTTTTTTAAATGTTGGTTGGAATAAATGATTATTGTGATTAGGCTCATCAATAAAATAACCAATGTGTTATAAATAATAACTAATTGTTTTATTTGTTTTTTACTCGCTGTTCTGAGTTTGAATCTTTATGGTTTTTACACTTTGGATAAAAGCATCAGCCAAATGAAATGTAATGTAATGTAATGGGTATGTTGGAGACTCACTGGTGACCTCCTGCAGGTAGTCCAGACAGGGCCTGCTGATCCCAGACATGCTAACAGAGACAGCAACCGGAGTTTGGCCCTCGTAGTTCCTGGTGTTGGTGTCAGCCCCGTACGTGTAGAGCATTTGAGCGCACAGCACATCATCCCTGAGAGCCGACAGGTGCAGGGGGGTCTGACCGTCCTCAAGACGTCCCAGGTTAGTGTCTGCTCCCCTCTGCAGGAACATGCGGCAGTATGAGTGATTGCCTTTGATGACGGCATATCGCAACAGGAAGCCATTTTGAATGTCAATGTTGGCACTGTGGTCCAGAAGGATCCTCACACAGCTAGAGCGCTCACGGATGATGGCTAACTGTAGTGGTGTTGTCCCTTTGTCGCTCAGCGGGTCCACCTCTGCCCTGAACTCGAGGAGAAGGCGTACAAACGAGTCTCGACCATAGTGGGCAGCCACGTGTAGCGGCGTCCAGCCATCGTTGCTTTTTGCATTTATAATGTCACTGCGGAACTCAGACTCAAGCATCAGTCGGGCGATGCGCGCTCTGCCATGCATAGCAGCATAGTGAAGGGCTGTGAAGCCCCCGATGAAGTCCTTCACTGTGGGGTCAGCTGCACAGAGCACATGGAAAGAGTGAAATTAAAGGAAAATAAACAGGCTGTTGGTGACATGATCTGTAATCAGCCTGGACTCTACAGTCCCTCTTATTTCTAATATTATTACCCTAACGTACAGTTCCCTGTATACTTAAGGATTCTGATAGTGACAGTGCAGTGGGTTTCAGACACAGCTGGACATTGTGACTAGACAATAGATTTCCTGAATGTGAAAACTTTAATTTATGTGTAAATGTGTCTGTTGATTGTGTATATAGGATATACATATGTTATACATATTTGTATACATATCTGTATATTGTATAATTTTATATTCGGGATTGGTGGAAACGTCATTTCGATCTCTCTGTCTGTAAACACAAACTGAGTAAGATTGACATTAAAGTTGACTTTGACTTTAACCGTTCATTTAAATTTGCAGCAATTGGCTGCAGAAATTGATATATAAATAAGGCTTTCAAAACAAAACAGGTGTTCCTGGAAATGCCCTCTAAAACTGTTTTAATTTCCTTGTGTTCCTTTATGTTCATGCATTCAGGAATTATAGGTTTTTAACATGTTAATTGTGTTCATATCAACATCCAAAATGTAAGTATGATCAAGTAAAACAAAATTGGAAAGTTTATCTGAAAGGCCTATGGCGCTAGCCATAGTTGTATTTCATTGTTGCATCCTAAATTGCTTTTACAGTATCATATGTAAACTTACAGTATATAGAAAACATATTATTACAGATCTGATTTTCTCGATATGGCAAATGTAAGAGTTTTAATGGATATGAGTCAGACTAATATATGTACTTTTAATGGGCCTAGAAGAACCTCTTCCAGTAAAGTAATGACCTCTATTGTTAAGACCTGTCAAGCCAATTCTAATCACCAAATGCAGCCAACTTCAACAGAAAGACAAAACTGAGCCTCTAACCTCCATGCTCAAGAAAGACTCGAACACATCTCTCTTTGCCTTTGGCAGAAGAGAAGTGTAGCAGTGTCCAGCCGTTGGCATCGCGGATCTTCGGCGAGTATCCTTGCTCCAGCATCCTCCTGACAGTGCACACATCCCCCGCTGCCACTGCAGCCTGGATCTGCAGCTCCTCATGAAGCTCCGGGTTCCTTCTGCAGTGATGGTTCAGCATCCTGTCACATTTCACATGGGATTGATCACCTGCACATCACCTCTGTCAGGAACACATTATTTATGTGTTGGGTAACTAGGTGGGTATGTTTAAGGTTATGACTCCAAAGGTTGGTGACCTGACTGTTATGTTATGAAAATGTTATACAATCTTAAATCATATACATCTTTGAAATACATGTCATTGCTTTTTCAACTTGAACTGAACATTGTCAAAAGCACACATTGTAGACAGGTGCTTACATAGAATTGGAGGATGAAACCCTCTTTAATGGTCACACATGTTCATGCACAAAGCACACACAGTGATATTTGACCTCTGCTTTTAACCCATCCTAGTACTAGGAGCAGCTATTGTACAGCGGAGTGTGGGGGGGGGGGGGTCACCACTGCAGGGCCCAGGAGGTGAACTGGGATCTCTCCAATTAGCAGTCCACACTCCATATTTAGGTCTGTTTGGGGACTTGAACCGGCAACCCTATGGCTCCCAGTCCAAGCCCCTACTGACTGAGCCACTGCTGGACATATTGTAATTAATAAGTTAACTGAAAATACGTTTCCTGACAAAATGTATGACTGTAGACGTATGGCGTGGCCCACACTCACTGACAAATATGTGTAAACATGTCCACCACCTATGCAGAAACCAAGTGTAGATATACAGGTTTGTGTGCACATGTTCTCGCGAGGCATATTTTATATTACGCAACAACGTCAGAGGCATTTAAGACCGAAGGCTCTGGGGAGATATGCAGCTTTAGAGACAACAGTATTTTGTTCTGGGCTAAACTGCATCTGAGTTCATGTCAATTGTCCTGAGGAGATTTGTTGAAAAAAGTGACTTACTTTATTCAAATACTTGAACTTATATTATTAACCACTGAAACGGCCAATATGACAAAAACGTAGATGTACCTTTTGACAAGCTGAATAGATGGGCTTCTCTTAGTCATGTCGGAGCTTCACCTGCAAATATACAGCTGACCTGTCAGGTAGGACAGCAGTCTGTCTTCAGCTGCTCTCCTGCAACACACACACACACAGTCATTTTAAGTCATAAAAGACACGCGTAAATAATACATTCATATTATTTTCTTCGATGTGAAAATGTGCAATTACAGAAAATGTTGGATTTGTTACAAGTGCTTCTAATTATACTCCCACTACGACTAATACTAATTATTATTATTATAAAAAAAATACACAATTATTATAATTTACAGGAATGTAAGAAAAAAGGGAATACATTACTTGCTTATAAACGAGATCAAGTTTCAAATGAGTCTTATTTACTAAAGTAAAGCGTTGACAGTCAGTCACAAAGTGACTCGCGTTACATTTGGAGTTTTTATCTTCACCGGATGATGAGAAGACAGGACAATAGAATGATTTCTTACTTACTAACATAACCCACAATACAAAGCACGCACAAGCAAACCATTATAAAAGCCGAGGGAGGAAAACGGGCTGATGAACACCATTCGTTTTATATATTGCAGAAAATGTCATGAATGCACCCTTTGACAAGATATTATTATATTATATTTTCAGCTAACGCTGGCTAGCCAGCAGGCTAACAAACTCATAGACGCTAGCTCGCTAGCTTGTGTTCACTTTTTGTGACGTTACTTGAAGTATAGGACACAGAAAAAGCACTGGGTGCATCGATGATAAAGTTGATTCTTCACATTTGCTAATAAACACAACAGCTGTGATACTATACAACAAAGACTTCACATACTGGACAGACGCTGAGCCAACGGCTAACTTAGCCTATCAGCTTCCACTCAGGAAGAGCTGGAGTTGTCAGAGCTGCATCATTCTGTTCCTCAACTCAAACCATCATGTAACAGTATACTGTCTGTTCAAACTTCACTAATGTTGAGAATCATTTCGCTGTTCAACAATCCGCTTTAACAACAAAGTGTTCTCAGAGAGCTGTGAGCACATCAGTTTGACTTAAACAGTAAAACACGACAACTTCCGTCTATAATCCTTCACAATAAAAGCATCCCTTAAATATAAACCCACTGCAAAAAAAGCGTACTTCGCTAAAACTGGAGAGAATGTCCCACTTGTCTGTTGGGCCTATACCCAGTGGTGTAAAGTACATTTACTCAAGTAGCCTACCGTACTTAAGTACAATTGTGAGGTACTTGTACTTTACTTGAGTATTTACATTTGTTTTGGTACTTTTACTCCACCACAATTCAGATCTTAATCTTGTGCTAGTCTCACAGAGGGGAAATTTGCTTTGTTACAGCAGGAAAGAGCCACAGACAGTTTAATGTTACATATGTTAAAAAAAAGTACTAAGTTTTGATATAATAAAAATATAATTAAAAAAAATAGAACTAAAGAAAAAATACTTTTCAAATTACAAATCCTCTAACAGTTCTTAGGATTTAGCAGCCAGGTATATATTACACAGTTATTAATGGCATATGTATATAATGTATATATTGCACATATAGCACATATTGCACATAGTTTGATGGTATTTAACAGCAGCAAGTTACACAATTTGCAAAATACAAAATGCAACAAACACAAACACACCTTATAACGGTTCTAAGGATTTAGCAGCCAGGTATAAATTACACAGTTATTAACGGCATATATATATTGCACATATAGCACATATTGCACATAGTTGATTGGTATTTAGCAGCAAGGGGTGATATAGTCTGTGTTGTGGTGTGTGGGGGGGAGGGGGGGTCTACTAGGGGCTGTGCTGGTTGTATAGTCTGACCGCTGCAGGAAGGAAGGACCTGCGGTATATCTCCGTGTGACAGCTGGGGTGCAGCAGCCTGTCACTGAAGGAGCTGCACAGTGAGGACAGGGTGTCCTGGAGGGGGTGGGACATATTGTCCAGCAAGGAGGACAGCTTGGCTGCCATTCTCCTGTCTCCCACCACCTCCACAGTGTCCAGAGGACTCCTGTCTCCCACCACCTCCACAGTGTCCAGAGGACTCCCCAGGACAGAGCTGGCCTTTCTTACCAGTCTGTTCAGTCTCTCCCTGGATGTTCACTGGTGTCGGGGGGGAGTGTTGGCGCCGTCTGAAATCCACCACCAGTTCCTTGGTCTTCGATATGCGAAGAAAAATAGTTCTAAAATAAAGTGAGAGATCCAGGACCTGAAGTGTCAATGATGTGCATTAAGTATTGCCCAGACCCAGTCCTACAAAACAGGCTCAGCTAGGGCAGCAAGCAGTGGACAACAAGGAGGATAAAAAATGCATGACTGGTTTCCAGCGTGAACTCAGAGCGAAAACCCAGGCCATGACAGAAGAATACCAAGTTGTGGCCTTTGCTAATAAGGTATCCTGAGACATCTTGTCTATCGTCTAGACTAGAGTTCATGGCCTTAAAAGGGAACTTCTCAGAGAAGTTCAGTCACTGGTTAAAAGGGCATGACCTTATATTGTGGACAGATAACTATCCAATTACCCATATACTGTACAGGCAAAACGCAAACGATATGCCTATGAACAGTGTTGGTTGGCAAGGCTGTAGCATAAAAACTTCAACTCAAAGTAAAATAAATACACAGCCGCTTCTATATTTGCAAATTACATCAGTGACCACTGTATCTTTGCCACAGTAAGAAATACAAAAGTCTTGATATCCTAACCACGTATATGATCATGAAGCGTGATATGATACATTTTGTTGAGCAAGTTATATCCATGGCCTCTTTGTCTGTATTTCTGATGTTGAAAATGCTTCGAAACTCTTTCATGATGGTTTTATTGAAATTGTTGACTAGCTTGCCCCCTTTATAAAGTACAGAATTGAAGGCGACAACTTAACAAGTTGCTTAACAAGTTGCTTAACAAGCGCAATGTTGCATGGTCAAAAGCCAGGAACACAGGTCTTGGGTCAGACTGGCTGCTCTTCAGGCAGCTGCAAAATGCGTGCCGTTAGCAATTATAAAAGCCACACCTCCCACTGTTAAAAGGAGGTAACCCCACTTTGCTTAACAACTATAGGCCAATCTCCAAATTAATTAAGGTGTTGGAATCATTTGTAAATCAGCAACTTAAGGACTTTCTATCAACTACAAATATTTTATTTGACTTTCAAAAAAATACAGTACGGCAACGGCTGCCTTAAAGGTAGTTAATTATTTTATTGAATTCTTAGACAAAAAGCAACATTGTGCAGCTCTTTTCATTAACTTGTCCAAGGCTTTTGACACTGTGGATCATGCCTTACTGGTACAAAGGCCATACAGTATTGGTCTGTCAGATCAAGCTGTCTGTTGGTTTAGGAACTATCTTTCAGGCAGCTACCAGAAAGAAGGTATTACTTGCTCTCATATGTATTGGATATGTATCCAAGGGTGTGCCACAGGGATAGGTTCTAGGCTTATTAATATTTATTATTTGTATTAATAGTCTAAATAGTCTAGAAACATTTCAAATGCAAAGTTTCACTTTTATGCTGATGATAGTCATTTATTGCTCTTTGTCAGATAACATCGAAAGAAAAAACCATTGGCACACCCTTATTTATAAGGCTATGCTTGGTGCTCTCCCGCCTTATTTGCATATTTACATCAGTCAGAAAAAGTACGGGGAGAGAATGTCCCAAGTGTCTGTTAGGCCTATACCCATTGGTGTAAAGTAACTAAGTACATTTATTGGGCTTTATTGTCATATGCACAGTAGCTACAGTGTAGATATGGCAATGAAAAACTTAAGTCCCGGGCACCTCCAACAATGCAACATGAATATAGATAGGACATAAAACAGATAAAACCAATGCAAATAATAATAGATTTGATTTCTAAGCACTTTTTCAGGTGATAAAAGGCACTTTACAGTGGTATAAAATAGGAAATTAAATTAAATATAAAAAGTTGAATTAAAATATTAAAACAACATTTATCACAACACAACATTATTCACACACAACATTATTCACACATTAAAAAGTCTGAAGAGGTGTGTTTTGGTCAGTGTTTTGAAGGTGGGGGGGGTCAGTGCAGTCTCTGATGTTTAATGGGAGTGAGTTCCAGAGGGTGGGGGCATACGCTCAAAAGATGGTGTACGGCAATTTCTAAGCAATCTTTGCGATTTATAAAAAACAAACTTGACGTGAAAATGTGCAGTCCTCCACGGACACTCTGACCCATGCGTACGCGGTACGCACAAAAACAGGAGAGACGAGAAACTGCGACACCGTTGGCAGAAGGTAGCCGTTCGCCAATACTTGATAAGTCGCTCGTAAAACACAGGAGGTATGGAAACTAAGAACATCATATTTGGTAAATTGTACAGCTGATATAACACAACACATTAGTTTTTTTTCCTTTAAAGGTAGGGTAGGTAAGTTTGAGAAACCGGCTCGAGATCGCTAGAATTTGAAAATACACAACCGGAGAAAATCTGCCACTTCCTTATAGAGCCCCTCCTCCAACACACACGAACGCGCACATGACCAATGAGGGCACGAGATAAGTTTGTGCACAGATGGAAGGCTGACAGGCAGGTAGGCCATCCAGTTATTTTAGCCGGGCCGGCTAAAATGATTGGTCGTGCTTTTTACAGTATTACGGCTTCCCCAGATGAAATGTTTTTATGGATTTTTTGTCAAAGCACTTAAGATATTCATTGCTATCGGGATGTTAAGAGCATTCCATGGAATATAACAAAAAGTGTATCTCGAGCTGGTTTCTCAAACTTACCTACCCTACCTTTAACTGGTGGATATAGAGTTGCTGCGGGGGGGTTGAGACGCACAGGCTGCAGTGGAGACGCTGCGCACAGCTGATTGACAGACACAAACCACGAAAAAGATTCGAACTCCGCCAAATGAAATCCCAAAAACGCCAACTGGAACACCAAGAAAAGCACTCTAACAGTCCATCTCCAAGCCTACAGCAGCCCTCCCCGCCTTCCCTCCTGGCTCCCCCCCTTCATCCCACAGCCCTATCCAAGTTCTTCCCTGTGACCCCTCAGGAAGAAAGCCCTCAGGATTATAAAAGACCCCCATCACCCCAGCAACAAACTGCTTCCGTATGGCAGGCGGTATCGCAGCATCCAGACTAAAACCACCAGACTAAGGGACAGTTACATCCCAGGCCATAAGACTGTTAAACACCTGCACTTTTGAAAGAACATCCATAACATTCATCTGTTTGCAACTTATATCAATATTTAAATTACTTGTATATAGGCTATTCTGCACTATTTTTATTATATTATATTTTATTGTATTTACTTACACTATTATCTGTTTTATTGTGTTGCACTGTTGGATGAGCCTGTGACCTAAGAATGTCATTTTCATAACTACACTGTAGCTATGTACAGATGACAATAAAAGCCTTGAATCCTTGAGAAGGGCTTCATATCCTTTTAATAAATGTAGCCCATCATGGGCTACAAAGAAAGTGCGTAAAGTGCACATGATTTCTTTAATAAAGTGTATATGTTTTATTTTATAAAGTGTACATGTTTTATTTTATAAAGTGTATATGCTTTGTTTTATAATAATTGCCATGAGTGGAATAAACTAATATATAAAACCTTACTCAATTCAATCCTGTTCTGTAATCTCCCCACATACATAAAACAGTCTTAAATGAACTAGTGGCCTCCTGTGCATGCACACAGGAGACAACCGTTTCATTGCAGACTGTTATATGTATGTGGGGAAATGGCAGTGCATACATTATTTGAGATATACTTCAAACTCGGACGTCATTTTAGGGACATTTCGGCCAGGGGTGTATTTGTTTAAGCACCGGATTGGCAAAACAGGAGAGTCTGTCAACCAGTCTGCCTTGATCTATGAATTCATGTCCGTGACTCTCACAGTATCTGCTGCCCACAGCTGTTTTATAGAAGGTGTGTGTGTGTGTGTGTGTGTGTGTATGTGTGTGTGTGTGTGTGTGTGTGTGTGTGTGTGTGTGTGTGTGTGTGTGTGTGTGTGTGTGTGTGTGTGTGTGTG